CAAAGTGTTGGGATTATAGGCGTGAGCCACTGTGCCTGGCCTGGATCATTTTGAAATTATATTTTAACATATAAGAATGCCTGTGATGTTTTAATTCACTTGCACAATCATGTATTGAGTGCCTTCCATGTTCTGGATACTGTTTGACTGCAGGGGCACTAGAATGGGTATGGCACAGAGCCTTCCCTTAAGTGGTTCACGCCTGTAATCCTAGCACTTTGGGAGGCCGAGGTGGGCGGATCACCTGAGGTCAGGAGTTCAAGACCAGCCTGGCCAACATGGTGAAATCCCGTCTCCACTAAAAATATAAAAATTAGCTGGGTGTGGTGGCACATGCCTGTAATCCCAGCTACTTGGGAGGCTGAGGCAGGAGAATCAGTTGAACCTGGGAGGTGGAGCTGTAGTGAGCTGAGATTGTGCCACTGTACTCTAGCCTGGGTGACAGGAACTCCATCTCCAAAATAAACAAATAAATAAATAAATAAAAATTAAAAAAGAAGCTCATGAGGACACAGGTCCTTAGCCAGGAGTAGTGCTGCGGTGGGAAGTCTCAGAGAACTCTGGGAGCTCCAGAAAAGGCCTTGGGCCAGTGTGGGAGTTCAGGGATGTCTCCTGGAAGAGATGACACCTGAGCAACATCTTGAAGGCTGACAAGGATAGCAGTGTTGAGGATGGCAAGGATGGTGGTTATTGTCCACAATACTGAACTCTTCTATAGAAACAGAGCTGATGCTTTTCAAAGAATGATAGTAGTCATAGCTCATTGCAGCCTGTGGATCTATGCGGTGGAATGATTTTCGTCGTTGTTTCCTCCTTTCTTTTTTGGAGACAGAGTCTCGCTCTGTTGCTCAGGCTGGTGTGCAGTGGCACAATCTTGGCTCACTGTAATCTCTGCCTCCCAGGTTCAAGCAGTTCTCATGCCTCAGCCTACTGAGTAGCTGGGTCTACAGGCATGCGCCACCACACCTGGCTAAGTTTTTGTATTTTTAGTAGAGACGGGGTTTTGCCATGTTGGCCAGGCTGGTCTTGAACTCCTGAGCTCGAGCAATCCACCCACCTCAGTCTCCCACAGTGCTGGGATTATAAGCATGAGCCATCACTCCTGTCCTGTTTCCTCCTTTCTAATATTTTCTGTCTTATCTCTCTCATGCCTTATTACCATAATTTATAAAATGATGTTAAGAAATAAAGATTTTTATTTTGCTTCTATTTAAAGATAACTCTTTAATATATCTCCATTAAGGATTATACTATTTGTACAATAACGTATAATATTTGTTCATGCAGTTAATGTAGCTCCATTAAGGATTATAATATTTGCATAATAATATATAATATTTGCTCATGAAGTTTCTCATTTGCAATTCAACCTTGTGAGGCAGGTATTATTATCCCCCTTATATAGATGAGGGCAGTGAAGGTCTGTGAGGTCAGAGGTGTTGTCCTAAGTCCATGAATGGTGGGTGAGCAGTGTCAGAACCAGACCTCGTGCCTTGGTCTTTTGACTGAAATCTTCGACCCCTTCCCCCGTGCTTCCTCGGTCATTGGGTACTTGCTTCTGCCAGAGCCAGCTGCGCTTGTTAAGGACGCTTGTTGGCAGTCTCCTCACTGGAAGTGTTTATCCACAGAACAAGTGGTGGCTTCAGCACTGCCAAACAATGCTTCTGCCCAGGCCCATGTGTTGGAGTCTTTTTGTAAGAAAGGGATTAAGTTCAAGATGCTTAGACTTCAGTGTCAGCCCTGAGCTGTGCTAGTCCCTCCGAAGCTTCTCTTGCATCTTTCCCATTCTTCCCATTTATAACCTTAAGCCACCTCCTGGCTGCCCTTGTGTTTTGGACTTTGCTCTGGAAGCAGACACAGATGAAGGGGAAGGAGCTGGGCTGTGGAGTCAGGGGGACCTGGATTTCTGCACCAGCTCCACCGCTCTCAAGCCACACGATTCGGGCACCTCACTCGATGGAGCTGTCTCCATTTCCCATCTGGTAAAGAGAGGATAATGGTGTGTATCTCGGTGGGTTTTTGTGGAGGAATACATGAGATAGCCACGTACCCACATGGTGCCTAAGACACAGTGGGTTACTTTCCTGTTGCCTTTTCTCTGCATTTATGATTGGCCTTGAAAATTTATTCATTTTCTATGTATATTGAATGCTTATCCTGCGCTAGACACTGCAGTAGACACTGGGTAAGTAAAATAGGCGAGGCCTCTGACTGTGGAATTTGTAGCACAGTGGAGACAGACAGTCAGAAATCAAGTGAAGAAATAACAATGCCAAATGCAATGAAGGAATAGGAAAGGACGCTGTGGGCAGGCGAATAGGGCAGACTTCCTTCATGCTGGTTGTTAGAAAAGGCTCGCTTCCTTTGGAGGAAGCAAGAAGCAGAAGCAAGCTGATGTCTGAGAGATGAGAAAGAGGAAAAAGAGCCTAAGAGCAACAAGATCCAGATTGGATCATGAAAAATTATTCAGGAGCCAGGTGCAGTGGCTCATGCCTGTAATCCCAGCACTTTGAGAGGCGGAGGCAGTTGGATTGCTTGAGCTCAGGAGTTCAAGACCAGCCTGGGCAACATGGTGAAACCTCATCTCTACAAAAAATACAAAAATTAGCCGAGTGTGGTGGCACACACCTGTCGTCTCAGCTACTTGGGAGGCTGAGGTGGGAGGATCATTTGAGTCTGGGAAGTTGAGGCTGCAGGGAGCCATGATCATGCCACTGCCCTCCAACTTGGGTGACAGAATGAGACTATAAATATATACATATATATGTGTGTGTGTGTGTGTGTGTGTATGTGTATGTGTGTGTGTGTGTGTATATATATATATATTCAGGCTGCTTATAAAGAGTGAGGGAAATAGGGAAGCAAGAGAGGATGTGGAGACTCCATTCAGGAGGCTGCTATAGAAATCTGACAGGAAGTCCTGGCAGCTCAGATGAGGTAATGGTAGTAGAAATGGATAGTCACAGACATAGTTGAGAAATAATTAGGAGGGACAAACTTTCTAAAGTGTAACTTTGGTTACACTTTAGTTCCTTCTGTTAAATTTAACTAAATTAAATATAATGGTTTAAATTTAAAACTAGCATATATAACATGATCTCATTTTTTTTCGTAAAATGATTTTTGTCTTTCTCTGCTTGATACATGTGTCCACAAAGATATCTGGATTGTCGTTCAATAAATGTTAACTGTGGTTATTTTTGTGTGATGGAATTGTGAGGTGATTTTTTTATTTTCTTTTTTGTGCCGTACTGAATTTTTTGCTTTAAAATAATCATGGCATGTCAAAATTAAAACTATGCTAAAAAGCAAATGAAGGATGATTTTTAAAAGTTTCCGTGCTGGACCTCCAAGTGCAGCAGTTGGATACGTGAGTCTGAAATTCACAGAGAAAGTCTTGACTACAGCTATAAACTTGGGCGTTGGCAGCATACTGATGATTTTGAGGCTCTTAGGGATGGATGTGGTCATCTCAAGAGACCTAAGAGAGAAAGGCGTGTGGCTTGGATGGCGCCGCGTGCATCTCTGGCACGTGACGGATGAGTGGAGGAGCCTGTAGTGGGTGGAAATGAGGTTCCCAGAGAGGAGGAACTCCCGGAGAGTCGGGGGTGCAGAGCTGAGGGCTAAGTCAGGACGGAGCTGGGCAATTTCTATAAGATGCTGGGATCCGGTTCACAAGCTAGGGCTGCCCACCTCATTCCTCAATGTCTTGTTTATCATGTACCCTCTACCTTTCTTTTCCCCAAAGCTTGCGGGTTAGGGAGCTAGCAATTACTTTCACTCTGTTTGGAGACTAAGGTTTCAAGACCTCTAGGATGTTTGGGGTTTGGCAAACAACGGGGTCTTTTGAAGAGCTGCTGACTCTCAGCAAATATAGACAGCATGCTTGGAGAACATTGGTTTTTACGTGAGCCACAAGTAGGCTTTCCGCTGAGAAATACTTCGACTTGTGGATTTAAAGAGAGTAGCAGCAGGCAGGCGGCAGTGGCTCACGCCTGTAATCCCAGCACTTTGGGAGGCCGAGGCAGGCGGATCACGAGGTCAGGAGATTGAGACCATGGTTAACACGGTGAAACCCCGTCTCTGCTAAAAATACAAAAAAAAAAAAAAATTAGCCAGGTGTGGTGGTGGGCACCTGTAGTCCCAGCTACTTGGGAGGCTGAGGCAGGAGAATGGCATGAACCTGAGAGGCGGAGCTTGCAGTGAGCCGAGATTGCACCACTGCACTCCAGCTTGGGTAACAGAGTGACACTCCATCTCAAAAAAAAAAAAAAAAAAGAGAGAGTAGCAGCTACATGTTTATGCTTCAGTATACCCAACCCAACTTGCAAGTCTTCATCCTGATTAGTTGGCAGTCTTTCTTGCAGGGCTAACAAATTAAACCTTTAAAAACCCCATTATCTGTTGACAAGCTAAGAAGTCAGGTTTGGGGAGACAGGGTGTTTTGCTCAGCTCCCCGCCTTGAGAATGGAGGACTGCTACGCAGCCAACCTCACCAGGTTGCAAAGCTGCAATGTCCCTCAGCTCTGGAGCCTGGCGAGTCTGCCCTTTTCTGGTTGATTCCAGGGCTAGTGTGGATCACAGCACTCATCAGCTCATCTTGGAGCTCATCAAGCTCATGCAGGGTGGCAGCTGCAGTCTGCCCTTTGCTAGGACCTGCTTCTGTGTCCCCCAGCCTTCCTGTCAGTATCCTGGCCTTCAGCAGGGCCTCTCCACCTCTAGTGCTTCTCATGGCACCACCTGCTCATCAGGACCCCCCAGTCTTCAGCTCTCGGTACCAGGAGGGCCCTGTGTGCCCCTGGATTGCTTGGCTGCTTCCTGTCTAGTAGAACCATTCTCTCTGCTTTTCTAATACTTGCACTTCTACACTTGTGCCTCTGCACTGATATTTGCGTGAGGAAGTTGGTTTTTTAGGTCGTGCAGTGCATTTAGAGATAGGGTTTGAAGGAAGTAGGCTTGGATGTGCATCTGATTAGTTTTCCAATTTTCTCCCCTTCTAGGTAATACTTTCTAATATTCAAAACAGAAGCCCTAAGCCTGGCCCTGCTCCCCACGATCAAGAACTAGGTTTTTTCCTAGAAACAGGACTTCAGAGAGCCCATGTCCTCTATTTCAAAAATGGGTAAGCCTTCTTCATTTTTTTAATCCACTTCCTAAAGAAGGAAAGTAGAAAGCCTTACAATGCTGTCTCCAGTTTAGTTATCATAATAAAGGAATTTTAAATATGAACTACCATTGGAACTTTTTTTTTTAAAGAATGAACATTGGCTGTTTTTGTCTCTTCTCTACCTGGCTCTCTTGCTTTCCCATGAGATGTGAAGGTGGGAGAAGGGAGGGAGGGAACCCAAGTCACAAGTACGCAGCCCCAAAACCAGTGGGGTTGGCCTGACGGGAGCCACGCCTTCCCACGCCCTCCCTCCATGAATGGCTCTGCACGGGCTTCCCCATTTGTTAAGGAAAAAGTTAATGAATTGGAAATCCTGGCACACAGGAGCATCACCCTTTCAGGGGCTGATCATTCAGGGAATTGAATTTGCCAAATCTCAGCCAGTTTTTATGAAAGTGAGTGTGGCTTTGAAAAGCCTTTTACGAAAGGTTGAAGGACATGAATGGGAGGGACAGCTCTCGAGTGCATTTGATGTTTGTTTTCCTTTTTGTGTTGCTCTTGTGAGAAATGTGCTGATTCTGTTCCAAATCTCTTCAGTTATCCCTTATTTTGACATTGTGCTGCAGGATAGATGTGCATGAAGACCAACAGTAGGTATCTGGTTCCTCTGTAGCACCCCTGTAGGCTTTGCATGGGAGGCCCCTAGAGGCGTATTCCTCTCCTCTAGAGTTAGTCCAGTAGTGCTTTGAATGGCAGAAGGGACCCAAGCCCCAGGCTCTGGAAAAATGAACAATGGAGTTGCTCCTTCTTCATTTTTAAGAGCTTCAAACCTTGGGGTGTAGCTCATGAAACTGGGATTTCATCTGCCTAGTGACCCAGAGCCGCATGCATCTATTTCCCATTAGTTGAAAATAAATGCCTATTTTTCAAGTCCTATTAAACTGCTTGTGAGAGAAGGCCTGCTTTGGTCCAGAGGCCTCTGACTGAGCTCCACATGGCCCACAAAAGGCCGTGACACACCCTCCAAGGTTTGCAGCCGCTCAATGGCCTTGGCATAAAGATGCTTTTGCATTCGATCTCATCTGCCACTGATTGAGATCATTTGAGCAATGGCGCATGTCCCCTAAGCTAAGATGAAGTTCTGTTTTCTTTGCTGTTATAAATAGAAGGAGAAGGGAGGGAACATGGAATATTTTTCTAGTGATGTTGCTTTTCCCTTTTCACGGCAAATGGTGGTCATCACAGAGGAGCTCCCAGCCCTTGCCCTCCTTCTCTCTAACCTGTGTCTGTATGTGTTAATATGGAGGTCCAGACCCAGGAATTAATCTCCCTGGGGGTCCCAGAAGTGCCATACCGGTACGTTCAGTTGAAAATGTTTTGTGTGAGATTAATAAGAGTGGGTTGGATAATTTATTTTCATCTTTGAAGCCTGTTCCTTGGGGAGAAAGGAAGACTACTGGGCCCTGAGACACTGGCTGCCCACTGGAATCCAACTAAAAAATAATGATGAGAGGTCTGCACTAGGTGATGGATTCACATGCCACGGATTGCTTACTGGCTCATTTCTCATTTTGTTTTACTTTACTCAAGTTCAAGGAAATGCCTGTTGATGTAGCCTTGAGGGACTGCTTAACTTTGAAGCGTTTTCTCTTTTCTTGTCCTCCTACTCTTTTCTCTGGGCTCTAAAGACCAGTGATGAGATTTTGGGCCAGGTACTGTCACTCTTCTTTTTTTTTTTTTGAGACAGGGTCTTGCTATGTTGCCCAGACTGGTCGTAAACTCCTGAGCTCAAGGGATCTGCCTGCCTCGGCCTCCCAAAGTGTTGGGATTACAGGCGTGAGCCACCACGCCCAGCCCGCTGGGCCAGGTACTCTCAAAGGTCCCTGCTAGCTGCAGTCCCTGCTAGCTGCAGTCCCTGCTGCCGCTAGCTCAAGGCTGGGATGGTACAACAGTAGTGAAGAATTACTTTTAGGAGGTGGAGGTGAGGGCTGGTTTGGGGGCCACAGAATGTGGACCAAGGAGAAAAATCATTGGGAGATTTTGAATATGCCAAGTGCTGTCAGGGCTGCTTGATCCATACCAGTGGGCTACTCAGGGCCTGAGGGCCACAGCCAGGGCTTATTTGTCGGTGGATGCCTACAGCAAGCGGGAACAGAATGGAGGTAACTGCTGTCCCTAAGCACCAGCAGCTTCCCACACTTCCTTGTCATGTACTTGCTCCCAGTTGTCTCATTCCTTTTGCTTTTCTGCAGTTTTCTTCTGTGTATCTGGAAGGACATAATGGACGGGATTAACTGATTTTCAGTAGTAGGAAAATACACTAGAGTTTGGCAATAAGAGATGGAATTGATGAAACACAATGTTTTTCTTTAGATATATACTTAAATGTATACTTGGCTTTTTAGTTGTTGTTCCTGAGGACTCACTGAATTACAGTCTTGAATCTGATTCTTCTACAACTCTCCCGTCTTTTCCAGAAGTCACTGCTGAACTGGTGGACTTGGGCATCTCTTTCAGAAAACCTGATGCCAGGACCAGTTCCTAGGCCCCTTCTGATGTGTTAGATCCAAGGGCTGCTTTTCAGTTTGGCTTAAACACTTGTCCTTCATGGTCACTGGTCCTCACAGCGTTGCCACTCCACCGTGTGCAGTGGGCAGTGTGAGCACTATTGCCCCTATTGTTAAGAAAAATTTAGACTCACAGGGGTGTGCCTTGCTGCAGGTCACACAGTTCCTTGGGCTCCAGTCCTTTCATCACTGTGCCACTGTGTGGGAAGTGCTGCCTCTCCGCGTGGAGGGAGTCGATGGGAGGGATTAACTGTCCATCGCCCTCCCTCTGTGAGGGAGCACTTGACCTCCAGGATGGGACATGGCCCACAGCCAGTTCCCAGCCTCTATTGGTTTGGTGATTTCTCCTGAGGCTTTCCCTTGGGTCTCACCTACAGCGGTCACAAAGCATCTCTTTCTCCTCCCCCTCCTCCCTCGGCTTCCCTTTCTGGCTCCTCCTCTTCCCTCTCCCACCCCTCTTTTTCTTCTCCTTCCCATCTTTTCCTTCCCCTGCTTCCTAGTTCTTCTCTTCCTGGACTCCCTCTTTCCTTATGAGGCGGGAGAGAACAGCTAGTTGTCATCCTGGCCGGTAACTTCCTCCACCTCCCAGTCCCAAGTCTCTGGGCGCGGTCCGACTTGGAATGTACCCAGATCCATTTCACATCTATTTCTCTTATCCCTCTGGGTGGCAGCAACAAGCCTGTTAAGGCTGAAAAAAAAATCTTGTTGAGGCTCCGCAGAGGGTGAAAGCAGAACAGTAGCCTCAGAGGGCCAGGATTGCTGCCTCCGAGGGCTCTAAGTCGCCTCGCCACGGCAAGCGCTTGTGTGAGGGCAGCTCGGGTGCCGGGTTTGGAACCAGCCCTTTCTTCCTCTGGGTCTCAGGTTCTTTATCTGGGTAGTAGAGTGAGTATCACTCACCTCGTAGGGCAGTAGTGAGGAGCAAATAAAAATATACACATGGAAGCACCTCACGGAGTGTCAGGCAAACAGCAGGAGGTAAATTGTGACTTCCAGTGGTGACAATGCCTGGCTGACTTACCAGCTGAAAGTGGAACCAGATTAAGGTCACATCCTGGTTGAAGTGGGAGTTTGTGGAGAAGGAGATGACTGAGCCGGACATTGCCAGGGCTTGGAGGCAGGGCATTTCTTTACAGTGGCTGCTGGCTTAAGGAAATGCTGCTCAAGATGCATAACCATGAGTTTGGATAACATTCTAGTTACTTTCAGAGAAAATAGGTGGGACTGACTGGTCTGACTGCGGTAGCACAGGGTATTCATTTTGCAGCCCAGCTAGCAGCAGAGAAACGGCTTCACCCTCGGGTTCCCCTCAGCCTTCTGAGAACACAATGTTACTCCCTACTTGAGTCATTGCCGCCAGAATTGCCAGAGAAGCTTGATTTGGGCATGTCAATCAATTTTGGATTTTTACCTCTTTATAGAATCAAGGTCTTATTCTGTGACCCAGGCTGGAATGCAGTGGTACGATCCTAGCTCACTGCAGCCTTGAACTCCTGGGCTCAAGTGATCCTCCTGTCTTGGCCTCCCAAAGTGTTGGGATTATAGGCATGTGCCACCATGCCCAGCTGGGATGCCAATTAGTTACTGCAGGTTGCTTTAGGAATATTTACCCATCTTTTGTAAACAAAGGGTAGCAAAGCACATTTAAAGTAAACTTGCTTCTTGTTAGCTGTGTCAGGTGTCCTGGGTAAGCAAAACGGATTGTAGTGTGTTTTCACTGGCTTTGAATTGATTTTAATTCAGGTGGGGTGGAGATAAACTGATGCAAAAGGCAAATGACTGTCAGCTGGGAGATGCACCCATGGGGTTGTACCATTTCCTAGGTTACATCCCTGCATGCTGCATGGGAGGCCTTGACTCAGAAAGCAGGAAGTCAGGCAGGGATGGTTCAGACCTTGGGCCCCCCTCAGGTACTTGCAGCCAAGCCAGGGAATAAAGTGGTATGGGAGGGTTTATAATCAAACAAATAGACCACTCATCACCACTATGCATCAACTTTAAAAAGCTTTCAATCTTCCCATATAATCTCTTTGCAATTGTTTAGCCCTGCTCAGTGTAACCTAGACTTAGAAGGCAGGAAAAGGAGTCCAAGAGGCCCTTCTGTGTCCTATGGGCTGCTGAGGAGGGTGCTTCCTGGGCTTATGTCTCAGATACAGCAGCAGCAGCAGCAGCAGACAGGCTCCCATGTCCCATGTGATTGTGGGGAGGTGATCATGGCGAGGGCGCCCGCCAGGACGTGAGTGTGCTTTGCTGGATGCAGTTGTCTCTCTGGGTGCTTGAGCAACTTCGCCTTTGTATTCTGGCCTTCCGGAGGTCATCTTCCCTCTTGCAGTGGTAACATGTGTTCGCGTTTAAAACTGCACACTACTTTTGACAGTACAAGTCCACTGCAGTGAACGTAAGAGAATTCACACACATTTCCTGTAAGCATTTAATAACCATCACTTTTTTGTACACAACCCTCTTCAAGAGATACAGAGATGAAAAGGAAATGGGCCTTGTCATCTGGGAGATGGTAGAGAAAAGAAAAAAAGGCGAAGACATAAACATTAGTAACTTTAAAGGTTATGACGTGGTTCTATAAAATAATAAACAATGAAAGAACACCTGATCATGTAAGGGAGCTGAAGCTTCCAGGCCCATTTAGTCATGCATGATGCTGTTATTGGCTTGGCTTCTGGGGAGGCCTCAGGAAATTTGCAATCATGATGAAAGGCAAAGGGGGAGCAGGGCCATCACATGGCCAGAGTAGGAGCAAGAGAGCGAGGGCGAAGTGGGGCACCACACACTTTTAAATGAACAGATCTCATGAGAACTCACGCATTATCATGAGGAGTACCAAGGGTGATGGTGCTAAACCATTCATGAGAAATTCACCCCTATGGTCCAGTCACCCCCGACCAGGTCCCATTTCTGACACTGGGGATTACATTTCAATATGAGATTTGGGTAGAGAAACACATCCAAACTGTATCACAGGGCCTACGTGAGGTTGTGGGGACAAGTGGTGAAGAGAAGAGACAAAGCCCCTGCCCTCCTAGAATTCATGGAGAACTGAGTCTCATGGAGAATTAGGAATTAAAATA